TACATGAAGCTTGTTTTGAAGGTTTGACTTAAAGAGGATTTAATGAAATCCATGTGTTTGAATCAGATGTATTCCATGCATCAAATTAGATGCTTTTAGATCGATTTGATAGTTAATAAACATTTCTGATCAGTTGGATCTTCCCAGTCAAAACAACAATGTGAATTAATTGTAATAAGATTTTAGCTAGATTCCCATATTCTTATTGCTTGATTGAATTGTTACTAACCTTCTAACTATTAAAGGGAAATCTTTGTCTGGTTTTTTTTAATTCCCTTTCTTATTGGCTATTAATTACAGTTTCATTTAATATTAGTAAGGCTGCTGTTCTTACGATTATTATTAATGTATCCTTGGACAGAAGTCTTAATATTTGATAAGTATTTTACATCAGTGGTTACTGTTGCAAATAGCTGATTTTTATTATTTCACATAGTTTTTATGGTTATGTTGTATGTTTTGGGTGTTTTTAATAAACTAACAGAGCGGATATTATAATAGTTGGTTGTTTATTCCTGTCAGAAGCATCACGGTTAAAATAAGGCATTTTTTTTGTGACACAACATTTAAAATCTAAAATGCAAGGTTAAAATATGCACAAATTAAACAGCTCTTGCCCAGTTGATCATATAATATATATTATGTGCCGTATTATAATAGTTGATTGAAAGCCTCATTTCAAAATTGTACAGTAGTTCTCAAGTTACGACTATAAATTGGGACCAAAATTTCCATTTTTAAGTAGGGCAATTGCTGAGCGAGTCGAGCCCAATTTTGCAACCTTTTTTTGCTATGGTTGTTAAATGAATCACCACAGCGGCTCAGTGAATCACGCCGTCGTTCAGCAAATCTGGCTTCCCCTCAGTGACGTGGTGTTTCAGAAGCCGGCTGGGATGTTTGCAAATGGTGATCACGTGACTGAGGGAAGCTGCAGCTGTCATAAATATGTGCCAGTTGCCAAGTGCCTGAGTTTTGATCACATGACCATGGGGATGCTGCAACGGCCGTAAGTGCAAGCATTGGTCATACGTCACTTTTTTAGTGGTGTTGCAACTTTGAAGGTTCACTAACCAAATGGTTGTAAGTTGAGGACTACCTGTAAATGGAGCTAAGAACTGAGATCTCTTAGAGAAACAGAACCACAGAAGTCAACTTGCTACAGCCACACAGTGATTTGCCTATGGATGCAGAGGACATGAAGCATGAAATGTCATCCCTCCAACTGAGGCAACTATGCAAAGTTTAGTCCTGCCTTAGGCATGAAAGCCGGCTGGGTGACTTTGGGCCAATCACCAGGAGACTGAGAGTTCTAGTCCTGCTTTAGGCATGAAAGCCAGCTGGGTGACTTAGAGCCAATCGCCAGGAGACTGAGAGTTCTAGTCCCGCCTTAGGCATGAAAGCCAGCTGGGTGACTTTGAGCCAATCACCAGGAGACTGAGAGTTCTAGTCCCGCCTTAGCCATGAAAACCAGCTGGGTGACTTTGAGCCAATCACCAAGAGACTGCGAGTTCTAGTCCTGCTTTAGGCATGAAAGCCAGCTGGCTGATTTAGAGCCAATCACCAGGAGACTGAGAGTTCTAGTCCCGCCTTAGGCATGAAAGCCGGCTGGGTGACTTTGGGCCAATTATCAGGAGACTGAAAGTTCTAGTCCCACCTTAGGAATGAAAGCCAGTGGTTCCAAGTTCACATCTAAACATTATTGGAGTTCTAGCATGCATGGGTTTTCCATGAGCTTCAAGTTATCTCCAGCCTGTGCTCAGCTGATGCAAAGATGGAACATCATGGTTTGTTTCATCACTGGAGGTTCCTCACTGGGTGCTTCATCACTGGAGGTTTTTTAAGAAGAAACTGGACAGCCACTTGTCTGAAATGGTATAGGCCAGTGGTGGCGAACCCATGGCACGGGTGCCAGAGGCGGCACTCGGAGCCCTCTCTGTGGGCACACATGCCGTTGCCCCAGCCTTGCCTCCGCCCGCGACCCCCTCCTCACCAGCAGCCTCCCTGGAGGAGAGTCGCCCCCGAGCGTGGCCCACGCGGAGCAGCGCAGCCAAGGACATGGCAGCCAGGCAGCGTAGACAAGACTCAGTTGATGCTGCAGGGCGTGGGCGGAGGGCATGTCCGCCATGGTGCTGCTGGGCTGCCTGGGTGATCTGCGGCGGGCCCTGTAGGCGGTGAATGGCCCTGCGGGCAGGCAGGGTGGGGCGGAGCGGGGGTGGAGCAGGGGGTGGGGCAGGGGCGGGGCCAGTTTTTGGGCACTTGGTCTTTAAAAGGTTCGCCATCACTGGTATAGGGTCTCCTGCTTGAGCAACAAGTTGGACTAGAAGACCTCCAAGGTCCCTTCCAGCTCTGTTCTGATTGATTGTATCTGAATAACTCACTCGGAACCACTTTTTCTGCTGCTGCTTCTTGCCCTAGGATTCTACAGTTCCGCCTGTATAAGAAAAGATTCAAGGAAACTTTGAGGCCTTACGATGTAAAGGATGTGATAGAGCAATATTCAGCTGGACATCTCGACATGCTTTCCAGAATCAAATACCTTCAAGCAAGGTAAGAGGGCCTGGTCCCACTCACAAGACTGAACATGGAGGCTCTATTTACTGAGAGTTTGGCCTAGATCAGGTGATGGCATTGTCGTTGCAAGCACCGCTACTCAAAGGGTGTCACTTTGTAAGAAATTGATGGCTGTGCAACAGACTCCATCAAGAATCTGAATTTTTATCTCAGGCTGGGTTATGCTTTGCCTTCACATAACATATTCAATCATATAAATTAGAAATCTTAGTTTTATTCTATGTGGGTTTTGTGTATTTGTGTGTATAGCTTAGTATTTTGTGTACACTTAAGTTGGTTGCTTAGCTTATCATTCAGTGTGTTATGCAGACCCAGACATAAGTTAATGCAGGAACCAAGTTAAGAGTTCCATGGAGACAGGACCTTATAAAATCCTGTGATTCGGCCACTTAATAGATTATTGCGTTATCTCTCTATTAACTTGTCAAGGCCACCCAGTGAAGTCAAGGCAGAGAAGATAGATAGATAGATAGATAGATAGATAGATAGATAGATAGATAGATAGATAGATAGATAGATAGATAGATAGATAGATAGATCAGGTAGGTAGGTAGGTAGATAGGTGGGTGGGTAGGTAGGTAGGTAGGTAGGTAGATAGATAGATAGATAGATAGATAGATAGATAGATAGATAGATAGATAGA